AGATGTGATTTGCCAAAAATTGATAGACTACAGTACGTTGGGACGGTTAAAGTTTGAAATATATAACTTAAGAAAGGAAGCAGATGTGGAATATACAGCTGTTTGTGGTGTAGTGACATGTAGGGATGAAAAAACGAGGCTGGTTCTGGAGGAAAAAGAGAAATGAATAGGACTGGAGTTAGCAGACATAAAGAGAAATGTTAATGATATAGTAGAGAGTAGGACGAAGTTAATTACTTCTGAAATAACACAATGGAGAAACAAGAGAGGACGAGATTATTTTACCAAAACAAAGGAGAATTGACATGCGAGAGGAGGCCTAATAATTGCGGGTGAACTGGAAGACACTTTACGTTGTTTTTTGTCCTTTTTAAAGGAGAGGGATGCCCTATCACAAAGCGATTTAAAATCCTTCATTTATAAGGATAGACTAAATGGTGAGGACATTACATTTGAAAGAGAAAGGCAATGTGATAGAGTGAATTTACACAACTTTACTAGATGCAATGTAACGAAAGAGGAGCGGCAGATTTTGATTTATGGGGGTGGTTTTGTTTTGAAAGGAAAACCTACATCAGATGGCATAAAAAAGCTGTTAAAAAACAGACGGAACTAGTTATATTGAGTTATGTTGAATATTTAGCTGGTGTTAGGGTGCAGGTTAGGGTGAAAGGGGGAGGGAGGAGTAGAAATGTTAGGAAGGAAATTTTACGTTATTTTTTTCATCCTAGAATAGGTTGTTTGGAGAGAAGGTTTACAACCAAGGTTTTAAAATTAGTTGATTTTTACTCTGTAAATCATGCTAGAAGTAGATCTCTACATGCTAATATGGTTAGGCGGATGACTAGTAACCAAAGGGGATTAAAATTTAAGTCAGGATAATGCTTATATTCTGAGAGAAAGTGACAAAAACCTGGGCTGGTCTCTTAACAATTCCTCTGGGTATAAACAGGAATATGATAGGCCTTTGAATTCTGGTTTTAATCGTATGGTAGGGAATGTGGGGGATATAGACAGTATGAAACTTAGATGCCGGTTATCTTTACAAGCAATTTTAAAGAAACACACGGAGGTGCTACCAGCTAAAGACTACAAAGGCTTTAATTAGGTAGTAGTATAGAGGATTACACTCTACCTAGCCTGAATTAGTTGCCAAAGTACACAAACTAAAAGAAAAGGCTACATAGAGAATGAAAGTCTATTAACAGGTAGGCCCATAATCACTGGGTATGGGTGGTGCATTGTAGAGGCATCTAAATATTTACAGAAGAGATTTAGGTCAATTTTCGTTGGGTTTAAGGAATACTTAGAAAGTAACTCATTACCTTATTCCATTTTAGGGAATAGTTTTGAATTGGTCGGTTTAATAGAGACAACTAATCTGAGTTCAGTGGATGGATGTACCTTTGTAACTTATGATTTTAAGGATCTGTATACAAATGTTCTCTTTAAGGACGCCAGCAATACACTCAGGGAATTGGCAGTAATACTTGGAATAGAGAAGGGGAAAGTGGATTTTCTTTTAGACTTATGTTTATTTTACAATAATTGGAATTATTTTAATGTGGGTAATAGTTTATTTAAACAGGTGAAGGGGGTTAGTATGGGTTGTTATTTTAGTAAGGAAATTAGCGATTTAGTTTTGTTGTATTCTGAGTATAAGTATTTTTTAGTGCGTGATGCCACAAAAGTAAGTTTTTTGAAAAGGTATGCTGATGATGGGATTATTTTGTTTCCTGTAAGGGACAGTAAAAGTATATTGTGTGAGTTGCGGAAAATCATGCTTTTTTACCCTAGTAATCTAGTGGTGAACATTGTAAAAAACTATGTGACTTGTCAATATTTAGATTTAGTGTTAGCTGTGTATGATTTAACCTTATCTACTGGGGTTCAGTGAGATGGCAGGCTGCGATGATGTTAAGGCATGTAGACTGTGATCCCCTGACATGACTTTCCAGCATTTCAGCAACTTTGAGGGAAAATATTCTGTTGGCAGTGTCTGGTCTTTGATCAAATAAGTTGATTAGCACCAGATCTTGAGCCAGAAACGGTATTGCTTCCCCTTGATGTACACATATTTCCATAAGTTCAGGCAGGTGATTGATGGTGACCACCATAGTGCCATTGCCATCCTTATACATCATCAGGTCACATGTGTCGTAAAAGTGTTGTTCTCAGGTGGTCAAAGTCTGAGTATGCAATACTTGGGAGAAACCAAAACCAAGGGGCCACAAACCTCTCATCAGGAATACAGAGGCTCAAGTAGATAATTTCCTTCTTTTGCAGTAGCTTCTGTTGGGGTCATAAGAGTGACCAATGCTGAAAGGGAAAATCCCACTCAGTCTGTTGAATGCCCCACTAGCTTCAAGGACTTTTCTCTGGTGGCGCAATCTTCCCGCACTTTCTCCCAAATATTAAGTAGGTGACGATCACCATAGCCCTTATTTGGAGTAGGCCACACCATATAAATAAGGGAATGATGTGTTGAGCAATCGAGGGAGCTGAAGTTATGAATGAACACCTTTGAGGCTAGGCCATTGTTGTCTATCACCTTCAATACCAGTCTCCTCAATGCAGAAAAATCGTCCTTGTCCCTTTAAAAGTAAAATCAAGTTTTTATGTGAAGGATATATGGAAGTTGTTCCTTTTAAGAAATAATATGCTGGAGATAATTCCTGGTCATTGCTCAGATCACCTTATACCAGATATAAATTACCAACATTACTGTTTTGTCAGTTAGTTGAAACGTTTCAGAAATGTGAAGGGAAGGGGGGGAATAATTTAAGTTTGAATTTGGGGATAATCTATGACTTGTACCTCAAAAACCACTTACTAGAATAGAAGATCAATCTTAACACAGTTAGTAGAGATTAATAAAATCCAACTACTGGTAGTGGTCTATTATCAATGCTGCATTCTGATTGTTTGAACTACTAGTAGGCTATATGTTATAACCTCCTAGTAGCGAAAAGCACTGGCTTTGAAAACCAACACAGTGGTGGCTGAATCGCGTTTTGGTGGCTAAAGTTGTTTTTTTCTCGATATTTCTTACCAACCACTTGGATTTTACTAAAAAAATTGTTCCTCTTGTCCTCATGGCGTCTGAGTCAATAGCCGATTCGGCCATTGACTCAGAGCCCATTTGGGCTCGAGGAATAATTTTTAATTAGCCAATTAATGCAGAACCACCATTTCATATTCAGAAAAATGAAAATTAATAACAGAAGTATTATTTTAACCACCTTCTGATTCATTTTTTTTTGGTATATGAACTTTGTCCTCTTCGCACTTTTCAATGTCTGGGCTGAAGCTTTTTCCCACTAGAATAATTTAATCTTGTTCAGTTTTCATTGCCTGTAGAGACTTAATTTAAAAAAAAAGACAGTTTTCAATAATTTCAATGATTGTCAACATTAGTAGGTTCATTATTGTAAATTACAGTCAGACAGACCGACAAAACAAACTGACATGTAGCTTTATTATCAAAGAACTTCATCACATTTTCAAGTGTTCTTTTCTTATCTTTTTTATCATGAAGTTAAGCAGCGAATGTAATGTTGTACTTAACAGAAGTGACTTTTTATTATTTTTTTCATTGTTTTCCTTCTTTATCGATACAATGTATGAACAAAGCTTAATGCTCTGGCCTTGTCACTGGCATCAATAACTGGTCCATCCTTGTACAGTTCAACGGCTTCGTCAATTACCTCAGGATTGGACCCTGGCTGCAATTTCCTGTCAGTTTTTAGGTCATCACATGATGTGCTTGATCGAAGACCAAACAAGTCCTAAAAAGGTAATTTAATGTATCAAAAGTTAATTCATTGTATAGGGATATATCAAATTTACATTGTGTCATCTTATGTTATATATCATACCTTCTTCATAACAGGTCATAAATATTAACAATAAATGTGCTAGATAGATTAACTCACCATTGACGGGTCTAGAATTCAAGGAGATGAAAGATTTCTCTGGTCTTAAGTTTGACATTAAAAATTTTTGTGAAGAGAATGGGCCACTGAAAGCTATCCTCTTGGATAATTTACTTAACATGATTTCTTCCTAGATGGCTAGGGGAAAATCTAGTCATTAGATCTAGTTCTAGCCATTTGATTTAAAGTGTGACCAATCCAACATCAGTCTACGTCACAAAATTTAATGTACATGTTCATAACCAATAACCAACATTCTAGTATCGACAATGTATTGTGACCAGTCATAAGAATTTCTGCATTAAAATTTGGCAGTTTCTATTTAGCAGTGTAATGATTGTATTTTCATTACAACCTTATTTGGTCATGAATATTTTCGAACAGAACATTTTTTGTTTATTTGTGTCAATGCTAGGGCGTTGTGGTTGTCAACGTTACTTGTAAACTATTGCAATAAGTTCAATTTTGTGCATCTTTCCAATGGTTTTCATCAACGGAACAAAGTGATGGTTTACACCTCTTCTTAGTTTTCCAACAAGGTTTCTCATAATTGTCACTTGAACAGGATTTGTTTGGTCTATGTCTTCTTTAAAAAGGACAGTCAGTTTCTCTTGGTATTTTTCTTCACAACTTTCCTGGAGCATTTCCTCCCAAGTTTTTGACTTCTTTACTGACAAACTGGTCACTGCTTTTCCCAGCTTCCGGTTTGAATCCTGCTCCTCTACAAGTTTTTCCTTTATTTCATTTTTGAGTGCATAGTCATGACGGAAACCCTTTCTTCCTATCCTGTTGTCACTGCTTGCATTATAAACTGCTTGGTCTCGCTTTTTACTTAAATCCATTAGATACTGTTGTTGTGAAAAACAATTTTTTCAAGTCAAGGGGTGACGGGGAAGACCAGAAGGTTTTCCAGTGCAAGGTGGATCTATGCTTTTAATTGCTCCCTTAGCAAACAATTTCTGGCCTTTGTAGGTAACGTCTCCGTTCAACAACACATATATTGTCCTGGCAAGGCGTGACTTCGCAAGCTCCTCTGCTTCCCCAGGGTGCTTATCCTTCCAACCCTTAAAAGTGGAACATTTTCGTATGCCCTTTTTCTTTTAGAAAACATCTAAATTTGCCTTTTGCCCTCTCTCGCTCAAATAATGTCTTTGTGGACACTTTTGTAATTGAACGGTCGTCTTTACTAGACTCAATAATGTCAGCGTTTTCCAAAAAGTGGAGGCAGTCTGAGCTTTGACTGTCTGGCTTGGTGATTTTTAGAGCTTCAGTTATCGTTCTCTGTCGAGGCAGTGGCTTAGCATCTCCTGCTACACCTCTATTGCTACTAACATCCTTATCCAGCTCTTTTGAGCCTGAGAGGTACATGGTAGCAGATAAATGGACTCTGGATTGCTGGTCAGCCACCACCTGAGATATTCCAACAAACTCCTTTTGCGTAGATTTTCCTGACTTGCTAAATTGTCCTTCTCGAAGACAGCTCTCTTCATAGATTTTGCAAATTTCACAATTGATTGACCCCCTGATCTTATTTTGTAACCTCGACAGACATACCCATGTATACTGCGGGAACTGGTCAGACGCATATGTTAAGTCTCTGAATTCTTTAGCCACTTTTGTGGAAATTTCAAGCAGGGGGAAGGCATAACAAAGGAATGCTCGAAAGGTGTTGTCACCCACTGAAATGATTCCTGATAAATTCGAATTCTTTCACTGTTATTCATACGCATTGATGGGCAACGGATTTTTTCTGCTAACAGTGGTTCAAAGCTTGAGCAGTTGAGATTTTTTGGCTTTATTTCTTTTATCTTGTTGTTACTCCAGCTTTCGGAAAGAAAGGATTTTCGCTCAAAAACTTTTGGTTTTGTACTTGTCACTGTATCATGCAGTCTGGCACTTCCCCAGATCTGGCATTCCATCCTGGTCAATGGGAGCAAAGGGTGCCATCTCACCATTTTGTAGTTGTTCTTCCAAACCTGTGATGTACAAATCTTCATTTCCTGGTTTTCTTTCCAGGCTTGTAGTGTCCACATCACCCTCATCCAGGCCTGTTGTCTCCACACTACCATTCTCTAGTGTTTTTTTCAGGTTTGTCACGTACACATTTTTTTTCCGTGGTGTTTTTTCCAGGCCTGTGGTGTCCACATCACCTTGTGGTCCTTCGGTGCCTGTGGTGTCCACATCGTCTAATTTCCCTTCAACAGCTGGAGTGTCCACATGACCTTGTGGTCCTTCAGTGCCTGTGATGTCCACAGCATCTGGTGTCCCTTCAACACCCATGGTGTCCACATAATCTGATGTCCCTTCAACAGCTGAGGTGTCCACATCACCTTGTGGTCCTTCAGTGCCTGTGGTGTCCACAGCATCTGGTGTCCCTTCAACACCCATGGTGTTCACTTCATCTGATGTTCCTTCCATCCTGTGGTGTTCACATCACCTGGTGGTCCTTCAGGACCTGTGGGTGTCCACATCACCTGGTGGTCCTTCAGGGCCTGTGGTGTCCACATCACTTGGTGGTCCTTCAATGCCTGCAGTGTCCATATCTTCAGGTGGTCCTTCCAAGCATCCAGTGTCCACATCGCCAGATTCACCTACATCGTCACCTTTTTTGGGGGTTTGTTCCAGGCCATTTTCTGGTGTTCCCTCAAGACCAGCGGCATTTACACTCTCTCCCGGGACCACCATAGTCATTTTAGGTCTCAGGTGGTGAATGGTTTTTCTTCCCTTTTTCATTCTTACACCCCTGAAGTCCTTATGCACATCATATATATTTCTGCCTAGAATTTCAAAAATGTCAAAATGAAACGATGCAAAGTCTCCTTGCTGACTTATTCTTTGACTTTTCAATATAGCCTCCTTGGTGACAATGTTACTTATTGACTTCTGGTAGGAACTTGTAAACCATTCCTCTATTTTTTTAGCTGGTGGTAGCGATTCTTTTCCTGTTGATTTATAACAGTGTATTATTTGTTAAATATAAATTTATTAATCAACAATGCATCTATTAAACAAAGGTATCAAATAAATTTAGTTAAGGGTTATCAATGAAGTTTAATTTATCTTTCGTCAATTTAAGACAACAGAGGTTTTTATTTTGAGTCCCATGTTTTCAATTTTCACTTGAAGTTGAGGTTCAAGACAACTGGCAACATTCAAATTTTGATCTAAATTCCATCAGAACATATACTTCTGATTCAATGTTATAGGGATAAAATTAATAGGTGTAAGGGGTAAGATCTGAGAAAAAGTTTTAGCACAGCCTCCTCCTCAGGTGCTTCCTTTTCACAAGGTAGAGGCGAGCGACAGGTGATGAACCGTTCCTTTGCGCGCACATTTTCAACGAGAGAGAGACGTCTGAGTAGGAGGCAGTTATTAGCACTTGAGTTATACTGGTTTGGTAGAGTGCCTCCGAGAAAATAGAAGTGAAGGAAATTAACATGGATACATTTTAAATGGCACAAGTGAATCAAACTCCTCTTTGACCCTTAGTGTTTAGTTAATGAACACTTTTTAGCTATAAACTGAAATAATACAAATGGAAATATTAGTCCACACTGCTGACAGTGTAGCCAAAGTTACCTTAAAATAAACACATTGGGATCTTATATGATTGCTAAAAATGTATCAATAATCAATTTATAAAAGAATCAGACCTCCTCCTTTGATTGGACCAGCTACAAGAGAGAGTGACACGACATCTTGCTTAAACTCTTTCAGAATCTGTTTATCAAGTAGCGGTTAAAAAAAACCAAACAAACATATCATCTACCTTCAAAAAACTTGAATAGTTTTTGGTTTTGTGGTAAAATCTGAGTTAAACTCTGTATTTTCAGCTTCAAATCAATCACATTTGTTGTATGGGGCATTGTCAGCTCCAGACGTTCTCTTCTGTGGTACACCAGAATTAACATTCCAAAATAATTTCCAAACAAAAATGGTGTTGGCATTGTATTGTCAACGATTTTGAAATGAAATATAGTTATGTAATATTGTAATTTACAGTCATATATTAGAATGTAAACAATAAATTTTGTTGTGGTTTAAGAAGACTCCATGCATATTGCAAAATTAAATTATGTACAGTTAACTCCCAATAACTTGAACCATCACTAACTGGAACCAAAATCAATTTCCCCCAGATTTCCATCATACATTTACTGTAATTTTACCTTCGATAACTCAAACCATGTTTTTAGCGCTTAAAAAGTCAGGGAAAAAAACAGTGTACAAGTGTCCAGAAACATTAAATTTTGAATTTCCCTTTGCCGTGTTGTAGCCATATAGTTTACAAGTGATAGCTGGTATTGTTTGTCACAAATTTAAAGCCCAATTTAGGCTGTTTTGTTATGTAATGTTTTGATTTATACTCCAGAAGTATCTTTCAATTTTCACCTACAGAAAAATTGAAAATGTGATTAAAACGTGTACTGTACAGTTAAAACTAGTGTAGTTTTATCCTTACATCCGGTTAATTGCGGATCACCTTATATGCCAAATTATTATATCTGAATTGATTGTACCTTTTGCGGCTATAAGGAATAATACAATGGGCGATATCAGTTGTATCAAGATAAGTTGGATTCCGTACAGTGGCACGACTGAAAATTAAAAAAAAAAAACACTTAACTCTGTGCGATATGTAATACACCGATATATAGTTTGAAGGTCACTAATTCAATCAGTCGAGATTGTCACTATCACTTTTTGCCTCGTGATGTCGGCAACTATAAAAGGGAGTGCCACTTAAAATTTTGAACGTATCTTGACTACACCATTACAAGATTAGTCCACTGTCAGACTTTTTCAAATTTCATGGAATTTACTCAAGTATGCTATTTTTGCGGCAATTTGTGAGGTAGATTTGACACTAATGGGTAGTAACATTGCCTTAACGCTATCAGATTGGGCAACAAAATTGTACAACAATTTCAAATTTCCTGGATTCTCCGAAATGCTATGGGATAACAGCACCTCTCGGCATACTATCAAACAAAATGTATCTAGATTTCTCCAGGTCCCTGAACTGATAGATGCTTTTTGGTCTTCCATAAACTCCTTTCCTTTTTTCCTTTTGTACGGAGAAACTAATTCTCTCTTTCTTTTCCTTTGCTTCATTGGTGTTACTTGGGCAACACAAGCCTGCATGATGTTAGCACAGTTTATACACCTACAAAGATTTGTACATCCAATACCTCTTGCAACACACGGACATCTCGATTTTCGACTGCCATCTCGACACGACTCTTGCATTAGGTCGTTGTCTTTAGATTTGTTTCCTTGTCCACATCGACAACCTTTGTTGAAAGCAGTTTCATCCATTCCATTTTCTCTCCCGCTTGTTTTGCTGATATGGTTAACATTTCTACAATTATGACATCGGCAATCACGGGTACAAGGACTTTCATTCTTTTTACAGGGGCAGATGTCAGAGACACAAGAAATTTTGGTTCCTCGTCGGTTTTTTCCACAGTTGCATCTTTTGGCTTTGATTGTCTGTTTCACAGAATCACCAGAAGCTGAAAATTCTGAAGAAAACAAATGCACGTTAACACTTCAGTAGCGTATTTGAAAAAGAACGGCTTCAAAGGACAATTGACATTAAATTTACGTAAACACTGAAGGTTAGCGGAGCACTAGAATACTGCAATAAAAATATTATGATTTGTACACCTTTGCAAGACATCATAATATTCAAATCCATTGAATAAATTAAATACTGTTAAAACGTTTAACTTACAGCAAAGAAGTCTGAGTGTTTCAACAATTAACCAGATAATATTTCATTAAGAAATTACTGCATAATAAAAGAAGTTCAATATGTGTCCATATCTGATACTAGATCATAGATAATAGCACGGCTACCTAATTTCAATCCAGTTTCTTGGCCAAAATAGTCCAGAATCAGAGTGGCCATATCTGCATCAAACGTTTTTGAAGCCGTTGAATACACTTGCGGTTGTTTTCTGTCTGCACCTCGTGTTTTAGACTAGATAAAGTAGTGCTGATATCATCGTATCAATTGTACGGGTAAAACAAGAAATTGACCCCAAACTCTTATTCTGATACCCCATCTTGAATTCTTTTATTTATTTCATTTTAGTTGCCACACAATAAAAGAAAATAAATTAGTTATAGTGGAGCTCTCGCGCGAAGGGCGCGAAGCGGAACACCATGGGTAAGAAAATATGGTAAACTACCCACCCGCGAAAATGTGGAAATCACGTGACCGTACACCGACCGTTCGTCCGCACCACAGGCATACCAATGTGAATAACTCAATGAACAGGTATGGCAACCTAAATGCAGCTCGAGATTATTTTGACGGGAAATCGCATAGCCACCCGCGTCTTGTGAAGCAGAGACAACTAAAGAGCCAATGAACACGAAAACGGAAAGCGGAAATTCTCTCTGTATTCGTGTTTTCTTAAGTATTAAGCTTGGATTAATTGTCAACCCAAATGCAACTCGATGTTATTTTGACGAGAAATCGTGTAGCTACCCGCGCGTTGTGAAGCAGAGGCAACTGAAGATTCAATGAACACAGAAACAGAAAGCGGGAATTCTCTCTGTATCCATGTTTTCTAAAGTACTGAGTTTAGATTAACTGTCATGTCCACAGATTTGGAATATACAGCAAGAAAAAGAGAGAGAAAAAATAGAAAGTACGCTGCAGGCCAGCGAGGCTCAACGAGAAAAAGGGCGACAGAGATCTAGAGCGAGAGATAAAAAAACAAAGGAGACATTTTTTGTTGGAAGAACAACATAAAGATTTTATGGCGGCGGTAAGAAAATGAGAAATGCTAGCGGCCACCAATGCAAGGTGAACATGAGCGGAAGTGAAGGAAAAAAGTGAGCAAGGAGACGTACGATAGTTTTCTCCATGAAACGTGTAATTAAGAAGTTTCTGGAAGTTTCACGTTGTAGTCATGCAAGACAAAGGCAGAGAAATGTACAAAAACAGTGTGCTGCATGTGCAAATTTTCGCTAATTACACCTATTGTTGTTTTTCACCGTTCTCCTGCGTTGCCTCCGCCGCTTAGCATTACATTGCATTTGTTTCTACAAACTATAAATATTATCGAGAGCTTCACTTTTAGCCCTGGCTAAATCTATATGTTAGTATAGGATAATTAGACTGACAAAAAAAAGGAAGTGGCGAGGAAAGTTAACAGAAATATAGTATAGTGTATATAGGAAACTCTATTTAGTTTTCTGGTTTACAACAGTGTTGACACGTTGTGTCGGCCACTTTAACAAATGATTCAGCACAAAGGAGATAACGTTGCCTTGACAGTCCATGACGCAGAAACAGAAATAGATTGAAAATAATTTCCGTAGGAAGATGGGTATGTATAGTGGATTCGCTCTCTCGCCTCACTCTCTCTTGTCTGTTTACAGACCCCCCTCGCTTCCTTTTTTTTTCTAAGGGGAGCAGAGGCGGGGAGTCTGTACACAGGCTAAGGCGACATTGGAAACAATTAATTTCTTATAACTATACCTTTTGTTGCGTCATAGTTTCCAGGGCCTGAGTGATCCTACGATATGTAAATGGGAGTGGTAGAAATGAACTCTTGGGGAAGAAATGGCACGGTTGGTTGGGTTGGAAGCGCTGTCACGACCACAACTGGTATCCGCAACAGTGTGGCTGTGGCTTTTGCGCAAAGGTCGCCCACTTCACTTGAAAAATAACCATCGTCGTTAAACTTTGCTACTTCTTCTAAATGGTTATTGCCAGTTAACCAATTCTTGTAATAAGCAATGTTTTAAGATACTTCTCCGACGAAGAGTGTTCTAAGTTTTTCACAGTCTTCCTTCTCACTTTTCCCTAATCCAAGAGAAGTGTAATGTCCTTTCATCTGTTCACTGTGCAATATTAGATATTTCCCGAGCTGTCTCGCGACTGCCCTGAAAAAACAGTTCCCGTCTCTTATGACTTTATCCACCGTAAGGTTAAGACCAGCGAGATTTCTTGCTAAGTTATCGCTATGTTGGGGAGTCAGATCGATTCCCATGACATTCAGTTTTGATTCACCCTCGATAAGATCACCCTTTGTCGCACCTGTTGACCACAGAAAGGCTATCAGATCCAATGATTTGTTTTTATATCTTTCTTTGATCGAAGTGAAGAAATCTTGTAAGTATAACACTCTCTGTATTATATGGTTTAGTACTGTTTCCGTTTTGATACCTTCTACTGTTTTTGTGGACCCACCAGGTACTTGAACTGATGGAATGATTACACTGCAACAGCGTTTTTCTGTCACTGCTGATGTTGACCATGCTGACGTTGGTTTCATATGTTGCTGTGTGTAGGATGCTGTGTGTAGAGGTGTAGGATTGTTGTCCAGTTTAAGGGTCTCGACTGGTACGACTGGAGTTGTTCTTTTATTGTGTATGCTTTTTCCTATACGTTTGCAGTTCCATGCATATAATGCACACGTCATCACTGCTATTGCTAGTTCAGGTCCAATTTTTGAGACTCCACACAGAAGAGATCTGTTGAGGTGCCTGTGAAGTCTTTCATTCATCTCTCTGCCACATCCTTCGGGAATATCCAAAAGACAGCCCTTTCGCACATGTTTGCTCAGATTGTCTATTTGATGCATAGTTTCTCCGTTTAACTTTTCTTGCCATACCAAGAGTAGCCTTTCGATGTTAACCTCAATTTCTTCCGGACACGGCGTACTCATTGAACGTTCGTCGTTGAGATCATCATCCCGGCAGAAAATCATAGACACCTCACCTGAAAATTTTTTATGCTGACTGTCACTCTTGGGAAAGGTTTGTACTATTCTCATGCATGCATGAAATAAATCAAGTTTGACCTTCACTCCCGGAAAAATTCGCTCGTACAAGTTTGGAACATGACAACAATCGTCCACTACAACCATTTTTAATGTAATCCCTGCTTTGTCAAATCTGATTTTTAACTCTTTTAGTATGTCCTCGATTTCCAAAGATGATGTTGACTTTGTAAATCGCCATGTCAAGACTTCTCCATATTTATTTAGTGCAAGAAACATGTTTTCAAATTGTTTGACAAACTTGCCATCCTCGCGAGTGACACCAATGGGTTTACTGGTTCTGAACGTGTGGTCACATGAAAGCACTGTGCCAGTGTGACTAAACATGTCTTTTTCGTAGTGTCCCTTTGTCATTTGAAATTGTTGTAGAAACATCAATTAAGTTGTCGTTGCTGGGGTACGAGCAAAATACACTTCTTTCAAATTCATCTTTGACATTAACGCTATCTGGGTTGTTTCGCATTAATTGTCTGAAGTTCATTCCCGCAATTCTCTCTGACAGTTCCATGAAATTTTGGCCTTGATAGCTTCCGGATATAACATAGACATACAAATGCAAAGTGAATCCACACCGCTGCCGCATAATAATTGGAAATCTTCGCGATATGCCGGGTGGTAGAAGCTGCAATATTTCATTTGACGCAGATAGATAGCGATGTCCATTTTTGCTATGTCCATCTAGTCGATAGCTGCATTCATAAAACGCTTGCACCAGAAGGAGATTGCCGTTTAAATCATAAATAAGCCTTGGGTTTCTTGGGTCTGTGCGTAGACCATACAACACGTCTGTCCACATTCCTATTTTGAGAGGACAATTATGCACTGGGCATTCAATGGTTAATCCACTGTGCCTTATTGGGCACCAAATAAAAATCTTTTGTATTAGCTTTGAAGCTGTATGTGGCATTTCAATGACGTTGTCGTAACGACCATTTTCCGGAGCGCTCCCAAACTCCCGTAACGTTTCCTTTAGTACACTTTCTTCTCGTTTGCCAAGACGAATACTTTTGGTATAGCAACACAAACACAGTATAATCAAAACGAACATGGTTGTCAGGGAGAGTCTCATTCTTGGCAGTTAGTCCTTAATGTGCACAATATTATTTGAGGTTTCAGAAATGATGATAGACTAGGCTACTTTCTTGTCACTAAGTACTAAGTCAAGACTTTACAAAACATGGAGGAAGAACTTATGAACTTGAACATGATAGGCTATGTCAATTTAAAGCCTTGTTCGTTGGCCTTTTATCATTGTTGTCATTATCATCCGTAGATCATTAGAAAGTATTAAACAGGTTGTCCAGCAGCTGCATGAGTTGTTAGTTCTTACTTTTATAACAAGCACAGTAGCGTATTGCGATAGCCTATTATATAGTTTCCTTAATTCGCAAGTAATAAAAACGCTGCTGTCGCTAGTATAGGTCACCGACACAAATAGATTTTGATGGCGATACACCTTCGCTTTTCCAACTTCACTGCCTGCGACTACCTATCAAGTCTATCACGGTATTCTTTGACGTATCTACACAACTTCTACCACTGATCTA